TGATCCAGAAGGAGATATATCATTCGTCATATGATATGTCGTCTATCACATCAAATAAAGCTGTGATGCGGCTCGTGCGACGTGAGATGCACATGCCGGTAACGAGCGTGCGAGCGATCGGTTGCCATCATGTAGATCATGCCCAGACGAGGCTAACGGGGTCAGACACCTTTTGAGAACGACAACAAAATTGTTTTCGATCAAGACCTTGACCTCGCGTGTGATGTCTTTCCTCCGTCATGGCAGAGGCGGGGTGAGCGGGCTATCGTGAGAGATGACGTTGTGGTGATACAACAATGTTGCGGGAAAAACTCCCGTGGTCAAACGGGCTGTATGCATCTCTTTAACAATGTATGCATAGCAGTCTTTAATTAATTGTGCTTATTTCGCTCAAAACTGGATGAGCCTGCAATCAGTGATCAGGTCAATATCTGCTTTTATAAGGGATAACTTCCAGGGCGGGATCTTCACGCTAAAAACATCTGTCGTCGTTAAACGGAGGAGTCACTCGTCCAGCTGCCTCGTCGCGTGATAAGATGGAGAATGGCACATAAGCAAAGCACCCTGAAGCTGACCTGACGTCATCAGCGGCAATATAGCCATGAATGGCGGTCATCTCTGCGCGCACGTGGTTGGGATTCGTTAAGCAACGTAACTGGCACGATCGACCAATCGCCGTGCGTCTACTCCGCACATCCGGACGCGGCTCACGCCCGATCGCAGTCAGCTGCTCTGGAGTGACCCCGCTGACCCCGCCCGTGTCCAGGGCCAGAGGCAGTGAAGCCGCACAACGGAGACAGCTACCAAGGACGAGGGGAGCACAGGCCGATCGTGGTCGGGTGCGATGTCGCGTCTCGCTCGCACGGCCGCACGCTAGTTGATCCTATACCTGGCGCGTCCGCAGAGGACAAAATCATACGGCGCACCACCGGTTTTAATGTGCACGTCTGATGGTTTTTCGTTTCAATGTACACGTTTAATGTGCACGTCTGAAGCACCGCTACTCGATTACAACACTATTCCCTTGACCCCCATTATTCAATTCTGCACCCATAATCTGAAGGGGTGAATAACCGGACTAAAATCACATGATCCCTGGTTTAGCAGCACTGCGGGTCTGTTCGGGTGGCCAAGGCCCGGCAGACCCTGGACCGACCACCTCAAACATGTGATCGCGTGGCGTGCGTTTACTCCAGAGCGCATGGTGAATCGGAACGCAGGGGCTTTCCTCTTAGCTCAGACGCGGAAAACGGGTCATGTCCAGCAAACACGCTGAACGCTGACCGTTGCGGACCACCAGGCTGTGCCCCCCCCCCCCCAAAAAAAACTAACGGCGTCACACGTGTTCAGTGACAGGGGCATGTCTTTGTTCCGTCGCCTCTCCCTGCACAGTGCCAACGACCGTGTTCGGGCAATGATTGGATCAATACAGCAGCCCAGCGACGTCCAATAAGGTGGAGGTGCCTCACGTGTTACCCAATCGCATTCCCCCATCCGGCAGCATTGTGCAAAGCAACCAGCATCTAAGAAGCTGAAATCATTAAATGGCTTACCTGATGCTGCGACACAGAACTGTTAATTTTCTGTCCGCCATTAAACACAGATCGTATTTCCAATGATTTATACGCAAAAAGACGGCATCTGGCGTGCAAAAATACCTGCCTGTCAATACAGTGACGCAGTTCCCTCTCTTCCTGCCCGACTGGACCGCGGTCACATGCAGCGCACCTCGGCCTCCGCGCCGTTCTCGCGCCGCTCGGATGGCGGCTAAGCCTGCCTCGTGTCTCGCGGCTGGAGGGTGGAGCCCGAGGGGCGACGCTCGAGCGTTTCAGGGACCGGCCCAGCGCCGCGTCGAGCTCGAACGAACGGCAGGGGCGTGTCGGTCTGCCGGCCGAGGGAGACTGAGATTGCGCGCCGCCAGACGGCAGTGGAGAGGGACGCCCCAGTCTGATGGTCGCGTATATACTCCTGTCGATAAAAATCACCCCTCGTGGAGCGCACTTGCTGCAAAGCTACCACGTAATAAAAGTTTTCTTAATGGGCCGGTAGGTCCGCGGAATACCCAACGTAGAAAAAAACATATGCAGGGTGCCCTACGGGGTGACAGCGTAGTTGTAAAAGTTATTAAAGTGAGCTCGAAGATCGGAAGGCAACAACGTTAACGAGGTGAGCGAACTGCACAGTCAGACCTCACGTACTTTCAAGTGTACGGCTCTGGTTGAATTACCACCACCGCATCACACAAAATAGGGGCTTGGCGTTTGACATGAAAGACGTCCTTTCTGGCCTATTCACTATCAACAATGGTGAGGAACGGTGGAGAGAGTGGTGACAAAAAAAGCGCGCGGTAACTCTTAAATGACTTATCAAAAACAAAACCGCACAGACTATAAGTGTGATTTCACAAAATCAGTTGGGGGAGAAGAGCTGCAGAATGAAAAATGATCTCAGTTACGTCCCAAATTACGCCAATAAATGGATTTCCCCGTGGATTTGCCCCACCCTATTATCAAAGTGTGTGTGGAGGGGCTGAAGCAAAACTGGGGCGAGGGGCGAAAGCACAACTGGGAGGGGGGGGGGGGGGGAGCGGGAGTCGAGCTGGCAGAGAGGGCGGTAAAGTAATGCGTTCCGCGGCTGCATGCTACGCCTCCCTCTGCCCTGCGACTGCCGCAGGTCGCCTGCCTGGTGCTGGTGTGAACACAGCGCTGACCATGGAATGTCCGTTGTTCAGCACACACTAAACCTTATGCGTCAGATACGTCCGTTGGCGTTTGGATGCTTCTAGTACGCGCCACAACACATCTCAACATTTTCAATGTCACCCAATGCAGATCACCTGGCAGGGGCGTAGTCTCGCAAAATAGGTTTGGGGGCTGAACATCGTTAATTTACGAGACCTACCTCAGAAATACGTCACCAAGCGCATGAGTTTTTAGCATAAAGTTATGATGTAGTTATCTCATATCTCATAAAGTTATCTCCTTTAATGTAGGCGTCAGCCCACCGTGCGCGTCCTCGAATTTGTTGATTGCCGCTCGCCTTCCGCGCCGGCCGTAGATCACCGCGTAGTGTTTCATAGGCAGGGGAACACGTATGTGGAGCGATGAGGACGACACTGGCCACTGCTTGGTGGACAGAGGAGGCAGGGGTGGGGGCGTACAATAGTCGAGGTTCATGATTCAACCTGGGGAAAGCTTAAATGAGCACTTCTTCTCTATTTAAGCTGGCGAATTTCGCTTTCCCCTTCCTAATTGTGTGCTGTGCTGTGCTACACTATCCGCTTCTTTTCTGTCCTATTCTGGCGCTGACTTGCCTTGTCCCGTCCTGTTGCCTTCTATCCTCCCCATGGCATGACCAGTGATGATGGAACCTTTGAGAATTGGGGGACGAACAACGGGATTTTTGTACCGTTCCTTATGTGTACCCGTGTTAATGTGTGTGATTTCCTCCCCCCCCCCCTAATCTAGTCTGTAAAATGCTTTAATCATACCTTCTAATTCAAGAGATCACTTGTTGTCAGGTTGTTTCGCCAATATTCCAGTTTCACCCATCCCATCCTTATTTGTTTCTCGAGATCTGTACTGTGATTACGCCCATGCCCAGGAATGCCTAAAATTCTCCCACATTACGCTATCTCAATCATGTTGTGCAACAGGCCTTCAGCTCCTGGATTTTTGGGACATGATGAATTCAACGCTATTATTTGGAGTAGCTGACCTTCAACACACTAAGAGATACTTTTCAAATGATGGTGTAGTGCTAAATAACGATAAAATTAGTGGTGTCCATCCTGCCTGTTGACGATGAGCACAACTCAAAATATTGAGCACCGTCAATATATCCGCCTTTTAGCACTACAATGTCGTTTAACCAACATCTTCTGGTGCTGAAGGTTGTAACTCTACACAAGAACTTTGAACTTGTAATGTCATTCAGCACCGATTGTTTTCCGGCTCTCTGACTCTTTCTGGTCCTGTTCCACTTTTCTGACATGTCAACAGCACCAGAGGCCGCGCCATGGGTTTTGAGTTGGGGGGCAAGATTTCATAGGGCCCTCATGGCCAAAATGGGGCCTCCTCACAGCGCGCCTTCTATGTGGCGTCATGTTCCGGGGGAGGGATACTAATGGCATGTGCCCCCCTTATCACACTGTTACATTAATTGTATCCATGCCAATAAATGTCGACAGTTAGAAAACAGAATGGAGGCCTGCCAACTACCCAGAAACGCGTTTTGTTAACCTAAAACAGGGCCTCCTGTCCCAAAAAAGAGACCCCCTGTTCATAGGCGGACCTCCTAATCTAGACCAGGACGCTTGCGATTCATGAAGGGGACCTCTAAGTCCAGCCAGGCGCCTCGCTTTTCCAAAGCAGGACATCCTGATCCCGAACCGCAGCCATCTCCTGCATGAAAGGGGCCTCCGGTTCTAGAAAAGGAGTCCCTTAATATAGAGCGCCTCCTAAAGCGGAGCAAGGGCCTCCTAGTCCGTAACGGGGGCCTCCCGACTTTCCGAGCCAGCAAAGGTGCCCCTCAACACGACATTGGGCCTCCTGATAAGCATTGGCTACCTTATTCCTAAAGGTGACCTCGGGAGTTAAGATTCAGGAAATGGGTCTTTTGATGCAGCAATAGTGTCCCAAGCTCATTTTACAACAGGAAAGCACCAACCTCTCGGCTGTGGCTGCCGCAATGACCTCCGTCCACCACGCTCTGGGTCAGCTCACAGCTGTGGCCGTCGTACTGACCTCCGTCCACCTCACTCTGGGCCAGCTCGGGGCTGTGGCTGCCGTACTGACCTCCGTCCACAACGCTGTGGGCCAGCTCGGGACTGTGGCTGATGTGCTGACCTCCGTCCACCACGCTCTGGGCCAGCTCGGGGCTCTGGCCGCCGTACTGACCTCCGTCCACCACGCTCTGGGCCAGCTCGGGGCTCTGGCCGCCGTACTGACCTCCGTCCACCACGCTCTGGGCCAGCTTGGGGCTGTAGCTGCCGTACTTACCTGCGTCCACCACGCTCTGGGCCAGCTCGGGGCTGTGGCGGGCCACGTAGCCGATCGCCCAGGCGGACGACTCCTTGACGTTGGGGTCGAACTCCTCCAGGCAGACGACGAGCGCATTCAGCCCGCCGCTCTCTATGACGGCCCGCGCCAGCTCCACGCTATGTTTGGCCACAGCCCGCAGGACGAAGCAGGCCGACTTCTTGTAGAACCGCTGCCGCATGTTGCGCCGGTAAGCATCAACTCCGCCGCTGGGCGGCCGCATGGGCCCCTCGCGATACTTGGCAATGGACGGGTGTCGTGCTTTAAGAGAATTCCGGGGTGTATTGCAAACGGTGATGAATTTCGTGGGAAAAACTGATCGACTTATGCTTCGCTAAATGCTATTTGCAACGCAGAGTTCATTGCAGTGTGCGTGTGTTCAAGTGGACTGGTTTTGCCTTAAAACAGTGCACTACAAACAGGAGAGATTCGGTAAATTTCTGAGACATATCAGTTTGCCTGGTAGAACGGATTTCTCGCCTGACCTGACCCGGGACGCTAAAACTGATGGCGAATTGAGCCGACAGCAGTTTTTGATGTTGTTGATCTCTGGAATAGTCGCAGCCTTATAACGGAACACATCTCTCTGCATTGGTCGTTCTGTGAAACCCACTGGGATAAATCTTTCCTGTTCTGTAGTAATGAGATATCAGGCGGCTACCCAAGCAGCGCCGGGTCCACGACCGACCAAACTCGTCCTGGACCCTTGCAGCGGAGCCCAGGAAACAGAGCTGACGAATGGTAGTTTGCGAGCTGAATGCTGCATCTCAGGAAGAAGCTTGGGCACGCATTGAATGTGATTGAATTGGAGACCCGGACCTCGCCCAACTTGGCCCGCCTTGTTTTTGAAGACTGACTGAAGACTCTGTCACGCCCACCAACGCGGACAGTCGGCGACGGCCGGCTGAATTGCGACACTCGCCGAGCGGCGGCGCTGCTTTAGACAGCCACGACGGCGCAAACGAAACACGACCTGAAGACAAGCACACCACAGCCTTCGGGTCGCTGACCGGCGGCGACACCGAGTGCCCGAGCTGCGGAGCGTCCTAGCTCTCCGCCGCGCTGTCGAGGCGGCCGGTTGGCAGCGATCGACTCACGTTCTGGACGGGGACCTGCGAGATGAGCTGCGGCAGGATGTTACCGCTGACCAGAGTCTGCGCCAGCTGCTGGCTGAAGCTGGCCAGCTTGCCCAGCGCCAGCGCGGCCGTCTGCTGGATGGCCGGCACCACGTCCATCAGCAGCGGGTGCAGCAGCGACATGACGTTGTTGGCGTGCAGGTGTTCCATGTTCTGCGGCCGCGACGCCAGGTCGGCCACAGTCTGCACAAACTGCAGTCGCGACTTGTTGTACTGGTCGAACGCTGCGGGCCGCCCGGGTGACGTCGGTGACTGGAGTCAGCGGCTCTGAGCGCTTGGAACGCGCAAGGACTACCTACGCAATGCACATGCCCATGCATAAGCATAAGCAATGCCTACGCAATGTATAAGAACCCTAGATCTATAATGAAGATCAGTACGATGTAAGATAGGTACCAGTAGAGCACATGAGGTAATAGCTATTGCATTATGATGCTACAAATCAGAGCAGAACGCCAGTGAGACTGCATTTCAGTTCTTCCGTTCGCTGAAGTAAAAACTGCTTTCAGAGTCGCGTATACCCGCTCTTAAAAAAACGTTTCAAAAGCAATTAGGTAGGTCTCGCCCTGTAATCCACAAACGGAATGGCATTCCGAAGAAAAATGAGGACATACATATGTGCAGAACTTACAGGTTCCTGTACTTCATGTAAAACCCGCAGAACCTGGGCATCACATGCAGGTTCAGTCCACCCCTGTCTCACCTTGCTCTATCAGTCGGGCGGCCATGGTAACCTGAAGGCGCCCTTAATGGCCCCTTGGTGTCAACAAGCTGAGTTGCTCAGTTGCAAGGTTCGTCCAGCTCTGAAAACTGAAAAATCGATTTTAAGATGAGGAACACTGTACTGGTGCATCTGATTTGACGTAAGATGCACAGGGTACTGCATCACTACCACATGCGACTTTGTCACTGATAGGTTACTATACACAGCAATTTGTGGTCGCTGGCGCACCCAGTATCAAAAAGACTATCGGAATGAAACACGAATTATTCCATGAGCCCCTTGCCGTGCCACGGGAACGATGTACGCCGGTTAACCATACTTGGCTTGGACTTTTTTAGGCGCGCCCAAATGCCAGCAGAGATAAAATTGGCTAGTGGTTATGAAGCTTGACATAGAACTTCGAGCTTGGTACTTAGCACAAAGATTTTAAAGCAGTTGTGGACGATCCGAGCTAAAATTCACCACTGTCTGGGATGACTTTCTCAGGGGCTTCTGAGCCACCACTAACGGAGGTTCAAGATCAAGCCCTGAGGACTCGACCTGACGCCACTTTGACCATACATTAATGACATAGAGGTAAGAAACTTGCCGGCTCCTCCTTGCTGGGGTACGATCTACCTATCTACCAAGTGGTCCCGAGCTAGTTTGACGTCAACATCTGACTTGATAAGGTATCGTAATTGTTGACATATGCGACTGTGACGGGGTCCATCGTGGGTACCTCTCAGCGACTTCACTTACTCAATGCAATGTTCGCTGATAAAACAATGTGAACAGCCACATGCAGCAACGTAATTCCGGTACCTGTCTTCGAATATCCCGCTGTTTTTCTGTATATCCCGTGTTGTTGACAACAAACTGGTTTCTGCTGAAGGCGACACAAGCATGTTTAGTTGTATTACAGCATTAAAAAATGATGCATGTTAGCACACTATTATTGACAAGTATTTTCTTGAGAAGGAAACTTTAAAAAAATTATTTTGATGTATCCTTAGCAATGATAGCTCCGCAAATTGCTATTTTTTGTTTCAGCTGTCAATTGTCAGAACAAAATTAAAGTTCTAGGTTATTTTTATTTTTCAAACAGCTGATGTCTGTTTCATATACCGCGTTAATGAGACAGCTATCGACATCGAGGGATCACGTTGGTTTATGTCTTTGTGGAGTGTCTGCGACTGAGTGGTGTATTTGATTGTTGTTGACATCTCAAGCTATATTTATGGTGAACAGACGCTCTGTGAGTCTGTTTATTTCAACTGGCTACTGCACGGCGCGTCGTCCACCTCGTCTCAAATCCAAGTGATACATAATAAGCTGCAAAATTTATAAGCTCAATTTTTTCGGACCCAGAACTCTACTAACCTTCTGCCCCAATACCTCAGTTTTATGTGAATTGTGTGGTTTGTTACATTGCATTCAAACTGGAGGTTAAATTCAGCAGTGTGCTGTGTAGCAAGTAGTAATTTGCATTCCTGAGTTGTCATCTTAATAGATGAAGCACCCAAAATCCCCAAGCACTACCACAGGTGATGTCTTATAAGATAATGCTCAGGATGAAGTTTTTTGATGGGAAATGCTCTTCAGCTTTTCAGCCTCCAGTTTATTTTTTTGGAAACTAGTAACCTGGTTGAGAGTTGGTGTTACAATCTCAGTGTTCCAATATGTGGCCACTTGGGTGGCATGGATGTATATATTTTTCATCCACTTATGCCCCAGCTCAGGGCTCACTGCTTATTGCCCCTACTCTTGTCCAGAATCAGATAATCAGCATCAAACTGGTGGCTGTTAACCCCAGTGTGCAAGTCCTTCAGGCTTAACAAATGGTGTGGGCAAGTCAGATTTCTGGGTTTGGGATCAGAGGGCATCAGGTTAGCTTCCACAAATCACAGGGGGGGGGGGGGGCTACTGGAAAGCCAAGATTCTGGTAACATGGATTTATATTATCATCATGCACACCTGACTTGATGAATTTCTTAATGTGATGAAATCTTCCATGTCATTTACTTCTTGGTGATGAAGAGTGATAATGCTTTCAGATGCTTCAGAGCAGTGAGAAATTAATTTTGTGAACTTAACTGTAAGCTAGTTATCAGCAAATTTGAGTGGCATGGTGCTCCTCACGGATTACAAATTAGGTGGACATAAGCATTTTTATCATGTCTGCTCTGCATAGTAACCATATCCACCCAATGATATATGGTTGGTGTTTTATATGATATGACATGATATTATATATATATATGATATATTGCTGGTTTTATGCTCATGATTGAGCAGATTTTACCCTGCTGTGGTTACTGCTTTACCCTGCTACCCTCCTGTATCCAATTAGTGCCTTTGTACCAATTCTGGTGATGCCTGTGTCCATGACCCTAATACAACTGAATGTAGGGAAACCCTGCATGCTGCTTGCCTGTGCACCATATCCCTGATGTAGAGTGATGATTAACCAGTCAGATCTGATGTTAGGTTGAGTCACAGTCAGTTATGTGAGACAGATATGTAGGAGCATGATGGTAAAAGCTCTATCAGGTAGCTTGCTGACTGATATTGTAATGTCAACCCCACAATTTGAATGGAATTTTTTGTCTAGGAAATATCTTAAGGCATTGTGACAGCTTGGTTAAACTATATTATAGTGTAGGTAAAATAAAGGATGGATGGATCTTAGTATTTGAAGTTCTGCCTCAATCCTACCTTATGTGAATACAAACCTTTTGTACTGTGAAATATGCTTGGCTGTTAATTTGTGACAAATAACATGTTTTTTTCAAATATGGCAAAAGATGTAGGTAATGTAACCTTTTGAGTTTATTATTGTTTTTATTTTGTTCTTCACTCAGAGAAAAATGTTGATTAAGTATTGCCCCTTTATCTTTCAGGTTCTAGTGAGCATTAGTTGGGCATCCTCAGAGTAATTGCTCATCTTCAAGAACAAACAATGCTGTCAGTAAGAAGCAGAATAGGTCTTGTGACTCGTGCATTCTCCATGGTAAGTGTTTTGAAGTGCTTATGGTACTAGTTGCTCAAAAATGAATTGGAGCAAAAAACTAATGCCTTCATTTTCACTGACTCTTTGAACGACTTGTTTGCCCATTGGCTGCTTTTTTGGCCATTTGTGGGCTGAATAATGGTCTGAACTGCAGATCAGTCCCTTTCAGTACCAAGTGAATGACATTGCTAATTGTATCTGGGGCACATTTGCCATGTTGATAGCATAACTAGTCTAGGCAAAGGGCATTGCTTGTGTATTTGCTCATTTGCATGCTTAAGGTCTTAGGCTTGGTAGCAAACAAAATCCATGGTTTGCATATTTGCTGTCTCTCCAAGCACCTAGGCAGTGACAGATTGGTTTTTGCAATCAAAGCCTAAAGCTTGGTGCTGTTGATAATGACGAGAGGTTACTTTTAGCGCAGTGCAGCGGCTTGCAAGTTCCGACTTCCTGAAGAAGCTAAGAAAGAATTTAATAATCCAGCTGCAAAGTACACAACAGCTCAAGATATACCTGAGAAAGGGACAATTTATGATAAGAAGCCTTTTATGATTGAAGTGAAGAAGGGGAAAACATACATGTGGTGTGCATGTGGACGAAGCCGCAAACAGGTAGGAATAGGTCTGCATTTAGCCTGAAAACATGTCCTTTGCCCTGATTTGGTTTTACATGCTTGTTCCCACGTTTTCAGCCAGTGGTCGGCACAGGAGCATTTCCTTTGTAAATGGTCAGCTGTAGGTGCGTTGTAAATAAAGATTCCGCCTTTACAAGCGACGCCCGGTTTCGCCGCGGGCTTCACGAGCATGTTAATCACAGAACTGGGATGTACGTAATTTAAGTCGTAAGTTAACCTGTGCGGTACTTACTGACGTAACGTGCGAATGACGTTATACGAATGGCGTCGTAAGTTGTGAGGTACGTTGAGTGGGTAAAATGAGTCGTAAACATTTGCAACAGCTGTCTGATAATGCGTGGTATGCGAACCTTGCGCCTGGAGTGTACATGTAGTACATGTACATTGAAGTTGGACTTCTGGTTTGGTCCTGAAAAAGACCTCGTCCCGGGCGTGCATTGGTTTCGCCAGTGGAAACGCGTTGTCTCTGGCTTTTTTCGTTTGCATTCAATTCTAGTGTGATAGTGGTACTTCTTGGTAGTTTGGTACCCGTTACAGTCGCCCATTATGGTGTCTGACTTGGCCAATGCTTTTAAGTAGACGTACTACATTGCGGACGCGCATACGTTTCTTCCAGCACTCAAAATCAAAGGACTTTCATTGGATCGTTCATCAAACTGGAATGTCCTCCAGCGTTCGCGAGCGGAAATGAATGCGTGGTCAGAAAATACGGTGAATGGAATTGTTTCATATTTGATAATGAAATCGTAGTTCTGGGAAATATTGGCTTTCAGTATTAAGTAGAAATGTGTCAATGCAATACCTGAAAGGCCGAGGTTTATTTTTGCATCTCCTTCAAGTCATGCCTAGTGCGACCTCTAGCCAATGCAGGATTTCGAACTTTTGACAGAAATTGTGTCAGGAAAAGACCTAAGAGTTAAGCACTTTTGCTGGAGAGGTTTGGTGTCGAGATACGCTAAGCTAGGTAAGACGCCGAATCGCGCCCTCCTCCCGCATGAAAAACTTGGAGGTTTGACCCACTGATATGCTATAGGTTCGTAGTGACGGTTGAGTATTGTGGTAAAGGGATGGTCCTTTAAGGAAGTTCTCAGTTGTATTTTTCAGCAACGAGCAAAATATCTTATATTCCTGTAGTAGCTTTTGAACAACGAATGTCAACTGAAACATCGCCACCTCTGTGTTTTGGTTCTTTTCACCCGTACCACTGTATACAAAAATCCTGTCAATGAAAGCAGTTTTGCCACTCATTTGTTTCCCATCGTAGGGTCCATCCTGAGGTCAGAGCCTCGCAAAATCAGTTAAGCATAACGAGGTGTATCGTGACAAAAAATGCTGGCAAGTGAATCATAAGAACATGCCAGTTTCCAACTATTAATCCAAACTTGTTGCTTGTCCTCGATCATTAAACCTTGCGCCACATGGTCTCAAAAGTTGTGGCATACGCATGGTTTTTGTTGTTGTTTATTGTTTTGTTTTTTAGCTTACTGGCTTCTTTGGCGGTGGACGCGAGCGTGTTTTAGCCTTTTATCAGAGGAGAGCACACGTCGTTATTGACGTCATGGTTTGTTTTATTTCGCACGAAGCCACCGCTTCACTCCGTTGCTATTCAACCCGACGAGACATGCCTCGAGATCCCCCCCCCTCCCCCCTCTTGCCTTGCCGGACCCACCGTCACCTGGCCCGGATATTTTCAGCCGCTGTGCGACGGCTCGCACCGCAACCCGTTCCTGCGCATCAAGCAGCGGCCCGTGAAGTTCGTAGCCGATGAGGACAAGGAGGTGTGGTTCTGTATGTGCAAGCAGACGGACCACCGGCCATTCTGCGACGGCTCGCACCAGCACCCGGACGTGCAGGCGGCCGTGCGTGGGCACTGACGCGGCGCGCGCCGGGACCGGTCGGCCACGCCGCCGGCCCGCAGAGCCCTGTAGTAGTGTGTGTGTGGGGGGGGGGGGGGGCTGCGGATGGTGGCGAAGGGCATGTGCGTGCGAGGGGCAGGCGGACGGACGTGGGGCCTGTTGAGAGGCCTCGCGGGGCAGTGACGAGGCGTGAGCTGTGATGGACGGGTCGTGCCGGGATTTCGAGACGGTTTAGGTTGCGCCTTACTAGTTCCATTTCGGTGACGTGATTGCTTCGTGGTGGTGCGAGCTTGTCGGTTGTGTACTAGAAGTACGCAGCCCGAATTACCAGCGTGATCTGGGTGTAATGTCATCAGTGACAGTATTGGAACTAAAGGTCAAGCATGGGTGCTTTGGCATGGTCCGTTCGCTTTCATGAATCGGCCAGTGGAGCGTCTGAGAGGTAGCGTCCGGATTGTGTCAATGGGGAAAGATGTAGCCATTGCCCTATGAGCCAAGCACCGTGAGGTCTCGAACGATTGGATTAATTGTTGGTAGTGATAGTACTCGCTGTGCTCTGAATGGCTTAGAATCATCATCCTTCATCTGCATGACCTGAGATTGAGCCCTTTCCTGTTACCTTGGGGAATACATAGTTTTTGCTTTGTATGTGAATGGTTGTTTGGCCTAGCTGCTCACAGTGAGTCATCGGTCACATTTTAAGAGTTCCTGGATGAAATTTTTAAGGAAGTGTTGTACATTTGTATCGGGTTTTGTACCGAGGTAGCCATCTTGAAGACCACTCGGTGCAGTTCATAGCCCTGCCCTTCTTAAGGTCTAAACTCCTCTAGTTCCTGTACTTTACGCCTGTGAAGACGTGCAGAATATTTAGTTATTATATCAAGGTCACCCAGGCCGTCATAAAGCAATCATAACGTTATTTAAATTGTACCATTCCATTAGTCATCCGGGGATGAAAGCCAAGGAAAAGTTAAGGCTGTCGAGTCGTTCATATCTGGTGTTCGTGAGCACGACTTGCAGCATTTCCCGCTGAAAAGTATACCAATGGTTAGAAGTGAGCTTATTTTGTCATATCTGACTTTGCTTCAATGTCTCCATATGCGGAAAATCAAAAAACAATCACGGATCGGCAATGCCATCTTGGCAGGCCAAAACGTCAATGTTTGTTGAATTTTGTAACCGCCTAATTTCTGTCTCTCATTTCGATAACTATGTTTGCGATTGTCTGCGGGATGGAAGGAGACGGAGACGAAATATAACATACTGACTAGTGACTGATCCATGGTCAACTCTGTGCCAAATAACACTGTTTCGTGCTGCGCGACATGCTAAAGCACAGTCGACAAATGTCTCCTTTTGGACGTCGGGCACAGGTCGGCACTTGAGGCTTCGATCCACGCGTGGCTGGTGCTAGTTCTTGTCGCGCTTTCAGCATGATGACATTTTATTTAACACACCTGACGTGCGGATGGCCCGTCCGAGAGAACCAGCCTCCGGTACAAAACATCCGACCTCACTGGAACGTTTGTTACTGGGCAAAGTAAAGAAGCGTTGGAAGTCGGCACTAGCAGGTCCGTGGCGCATGTCGAGCCGGGTACACTCGCTAACGCCGCGGCCCTCTGTGTCCTGAAAGCCCGCTTCTACTCAACCTACTTAAGGCATCTGTCACCGAGTGGTGGTACATCATCTGTCACTTGCTCTCCCGCACCACTTACTTTCGGCGCTTCCACCAGGCGGCGTGTCTGCCGTTACCCCCGGATGTCCCAGCGATCCGTCACGGCTGTTCGACGTGTTCGATGTTCAGTTTGTTGCAGTCGAGCCATTTCTCTTGATGCTCATGCAACCGCTGGTAATTGCGCTTGCTCTATTATGAACTGGCTTGCGAACGACACCCAAAGGCAATTGACAAAGGTGGGAAAACATCACCGTACAGTTGTAATGATATGGCTTGCGCATTTTAGCAAACCGTCTTAAATGTGACGCACTGAGCCTTCTATAGTGCTGTGGAGTGGAACAGACGGAACAATCGTTTGTAATTGAAACTCCAAGCCGACATGTTTTTTTTTATTTTTTAGTACTGTCAAGCAAAAAGCTGTACAAGCATAACCGCGTATGGGCTTCTGGGTCGACAGGAAGTCGTACCTCACATCAGAACTCATGGCAGGAATGCAAAGTCATACAGTTGTACGACCTATTTCGCTGACCTGGAGGCACTGGAGGCCATCACAAGATAAACAATAACCTTCGGCAGCAATATTAGTACAGTTTTAGGACGTACTATACGCCAGCTATACGTCGCGTTGCACAACACTTTTATGGTCAATCATTAGGTTGACCATATTGCTGCACCATCTTCGCTACGCAATACCTTTATGGTCAACATTTAGGTAAGATTAGCATCGACAAGCACGAAATATTGACCGTCCGAAATGACTGATCGTCGTCGCGTTCCTAGGCAGGGTGTCGGCCATCGAATGAGGATAGGGATCTGAGGACACATGGACAGCCAGCGTGGGTCTCTGGTTTGTGCAAGGCTGCTTCCGTTGTCTCGCTCCTTTTCGTATAGCTTGGGCCGTGACTGTGTGATTTACCCCCACCTGATTCCGAGTTACTCGGTTTGGAGAAACTGAAACGTGCTAGTGTGCCTGTCAATCTGGCACGATTCGGACGCTACATCTCATGTTCATTGCTCAGCTGTATTTTATTCCGTGGCGATACCCTCCTTTGATAATGGGTGATCAGAGTAGACTTGTGTCTAATCTCTGCAGACATAATCTCTGCAACCCTGAGGCCTAAATTGGTAGAGACATAGGCAACCGGCTATACCCAAAAGCCGCCTTTGGATGCATGAAGTGCGGTAAGTCACCCCGACGGTTCCAGGGACATTGTGGCAAGTATGCTTTACATATGCGTGACGACGTTGTCAAACGTATGCATGCATAACATTCAGGAAGTATGGTGTCAGGGTTCGTCATGCCCATGGTCAGGATCCTGTCCGTTCTTGGATGTTGCAGCCCCGGCCGTGTTTGCAGCGCTACGGCGCCCCTCTCCCTGATATCCCTCGACATCAAACGGCTCGGCATAATCGTCATCTCTCGCGCCCATCATCGCTGCCGTCCCGCCGCCTGTCGGCTGACTATCGAAGCTGAGGTTCCTCTCGCTGCCGGCTGGCATACAGCCGTCCACTAGGGGTATCGCATAGCCTGGCATTGTCTGCTCAGCACCAATGAGTTCTGTTGGGCTCAGAGCACGGTCAGTGATGAGATTCACATCTGTTGCGTGGTTTGGCAGCTTGATGGGTTGATCGTCGTCAGGGAACACCTCGTACTCAGGCTCGTCCGCGATGAGCGGCGCTAGAGTTCCATCGGCGTCGGAAACGCTGCAGCCCGGGGGCGACGCAGGTAGCGGAGGAGGCTCTGGTGAATGCCGCGTTGTGTGATGCTCCGCAGAGAAGCTGGGCTCCTCGTAAATCGCCTCGCCGTCGTCGATCTCGCTGCAAGAGGAACATGTTTCGCTCTGGCCCGTCGTGCGCACATAGCGTCATCTTCGACTATGAACAATCATACCTATCGTTTTAGTTACCTCACGACGTCACACAGGGCCATACGAGTGCGCAGTGACATGTGCTCGAGGTGGAGGGGAATCATTCATCCTTCTTTTAGAGCGTTGGGACATTGTTGCAGGGCGTGGCATACTCGCATGATTATAGTCGTGCCAGGTAGGGCCATATTGCGCGCTCTCTCTGTTTCTCTGTCTCTCTCTCTCCTCTCTCTCTCTCTCTCTCTCTCTCTCTCTCTCTCTCTCTCTTCTCTCTCTTCTCTCTCTCTCTCTCTCTCTCTCTCTCTCTCTCTCTCTCCTCTCTCTCTCTCTCTCTCTCTCTCTCTCTATCTCTCTCTCTCTCTCTCTCTCTCTCTCTCTCTCTCTCTCTCTCTCTCTCTCTCTCTCTCTCTCTCTCTCTCTCTCTCTCTCTCTCTCTCTCTACCTCCCCTCTTGCCTCCATGGGCGAAGCCACGCCTCACATTTGACTGGGGTCTGTGTCTGGGTTGGTCTTATACCGCATCGTCAAACCACAAATTAATCCCCTCGGGCACAAAAGTTAATGGACCCACCCCACCCACCCCAGTGGTGGTTACTCTAATGCTTGTCGCGCTCCACATTACTGCGCCTTCAAAGGTGGCGGATTGCAGAGGGCCGGCGATGATGACACGAATCAAGAACAGATAGGATCTGAACGAGCACTATCATTATCAACCGATGACCAGACGGTGACTCACGCACTTGTACATACTGGTGAGGGGCGTTGTGGGGAGATTGTTCTAACCTGTATACGCTGTCAGTAATGGGCATGTATGTTGGGTTTTCGTTGAGGAGTACCAGCTCCATGTTGTTGGCTTGCACGCCTGCGGCCCCATTCCGGCGCTTCCGGCGTGCTTCGCCTCGACGTCGCCTCCCGGTGCAAAACATGGCGGAACCCAACAGCACTAATAGGGCTGTGCCACCAATGACTCCTCCGAGGACAGCACCAAGGTAGTCTGCAACCAACTCGGCCATATGTAACTGCTTGCAATGGGAATAACGTGACTAACAAGCGTTAGCGAAAATAGATACGATATGTTACGATGTCGGTTTGACATGGTCATTTCTACGTCTTTTGCGTACACCTACCCCCCCCCCCCCCCCCCCCTCCAGACTTCTCCAGATAATTTTGCCAAGCGTTGTCAGCATGTGTGACCAGAGTTATTTCTCCGCATGTGACTGCGCAGTTGGCTAATGCATTGTGATGTCTGACAATCCCCCGTTCTTGTTTCAAAAGGGAGATTCCTAGGGCTGAACGCTCTAGGAATCCAGCCAGTCCGACGGATCCTGAAATTCTGAAGCACTCACTTAAAACTCAATGCTTCATCTATGTCAATGGTCTAAGTTATGGGTCTGAGGTTTTACGCGATGACGTTTTACTTACTTGTCATCCTCGGCATCGGGTCTTCACGTTCATCAAGCTCATTCCGGCGAACTGTGGGATGAGCCACATCTTGTGACTTGTCACTACATTACAGAGGTTTTTGGCAATTTTACTATTTCGAGCGCTCGCTAGCGATGGTAGATCTACGATACTTTTCCCAACCAAAAATACATTTAGCATGGAAGACCTTTTTCCACAGGTGACTGCGTAGTTTGCTAATACACTGTGATGTCTGAAGATGTCCCGTTTATCTTTCACATGGGGGCGGGGAGGGGGAGCTTGCCGCTCTAGGAATCCATCTAGCCTGACGGATCCTGAAATTCTGGAGCGTTCTTAAAACTTAATGCTTTGTTGGCGTCAATGATCTAAGCTACATTGCTGAAGTTTCATTTGATGACGTTCTACTCACTTGTCATCTTCGGCATCGCTTCTCCACGTTCACCCAGTTCATTCTGCTCAACTGTGGAACAAGCCACATCTTGTTAGTTGTTAATTTAAAGTGTCTGTTTGCAACTTTATCAGATCTGGGGGCAAGAGAAAACTGCACCGCATGAGGCGATTTTTTATCTCGGTGCGGGGTACGATTAAGTTGCCAGTCGAGTCTGCAAAGAGTAGCTCGCTGTGGCGTAATGCCATTGCCACGGAAGCCGTCCCGTGAGTAGTGCGCAGCGGCAGTGGTGTACCGTCGGACGACATCAGATGATTAGTGGGATACGTTTTACCAAGGCTATCCACTTTAATGTAGCGACTGCTTAGAAGTTAAAGGTACCGAAATGACGGCCTACCGCCAGTAATATCGATGAGCAAGGCTAGAAAAGGGAAAGCAGAAGAGACGTGATGCGGCGTCGGAGTCTATGCGCTGATGCAATTTAAAGGATTACTCAATGCGGCTTCCTCTTTTTTCAGCCGAATTCGATGTCTGTACAAAAGTTCAGTGGAAAACAGCATGGCAGTCCCTCAGCATTCCCCAGGCCAATGCACAATACGGCAGGCAGGAACATATTTGCGACAAATTACAAATTGGTTGCATTCTCTCCCGTCGGCGTAAAGGCATCCCAACAAACTGGCTGAGCAGGATTGGTCTGCGGCGCGTTGTTCTGTGTGGTCTTTCACATTGGTCTTCAAACGGCCTCTGAGTGCTGGTCTGAGTGTATTCTTGACGCATGTGAATGTTGTACACATAAATGCATCTATTGGAACAGGCGTTATTCAAAGCTAAGGACTAGATCTTGGCTTGATTCATCCGCAGAATACCTGCCTGTGAGAACGTACCCATCGCCTCCATCTTGGAATCACAGAAGGTGGGCCGGGACCATTTCGGTGCATTGCACCGGATTTGACCGTTGGTCCTTGGCGAGTCGTCGCAGGTAACATTGATGACTGCACCTTCCGCAGCAACCATGGTCTTGCTGTAGATCAGTGACGCTTGCTGAGCCGGGCTTCCACAGAGGCGTGGTGCTGTAAGCCCATAGACAGCACCGTAAGCGGCCAAAACGCGGCGATGTGGGTAACGCCGCTGGGTTTGGCGACCATTTTTTATACGTGATGGGCATGTCACATATCGCGACCAAAGAACATATGCCATCCATCTTATGTCATATTTTTCAGACATTATATATATATATATATATATATATATATATATACATATATATACACATATATATATACACATATATATATATATTATATAACAAATATATTATTGTTCAGATCATGGCATGGTTACTGGCTCGAAAGGGACATCTCCGCACGCATGTTCCCTATTTCACGGGCATTCTACATCTATGGCGTTCAGTGCGTTTAACTCCAGGTGGGTCATGCGTGCGTAGTCGATCAGGTCACCGAGAAACGCGTCCCCTGTCGTGTGACAGTCAGCGCGCGGTGCACTCACGTCTCTGGCAGATGTACCAGTTCCTGGCACCGCAGTCATGCGCCGGTGTGATACGGCCAGTTTGCCGCACGAACTCTCGGCACTCTGACGTTGTACCTGTCGACAGGGGTCATCCAAGCAGCGCGTGACAACCCACCGGCGACACGCTTAAAAAGTGCACGCGGCAGATGCACATCATGTTACACATCTGGGCGCGTGAGAAACAAGATAGCCTGCCTTAAACCAGTGATGTTGAGTTAGCCAGAGACACAACTTGTCAACTGACCCAGCAGCTGAACAAAGGCTGACTAATGGGAGAAAAACTTAGCGTTCTACTAATCTATCAGGCTTGCTGACTGATGCAGCGCTTGTTAATCCAGCAGTGACACGGCAGGCCCGTGGCGAGACAAGGCTAGCCGTGGCGGCTGTCGGACACCCACCGTCGGCAGCGTTGCGGTCTCCGGCGACCCAGACGTAGTCGTCCAGACCCGTGGGCGCCGGCGCCGGCAAGGAGCTGAGTAGACCGACCGTCATATTGAGCAGTCCGGAATCGTCGGGTTGGAACAGGGTGCCATCGGAGCTGATCGTGTGGCAGGCGTCTTCAGCTTCTTTTGCAGTCAAAGACTCGTTGAACAGGTGGTAGCATCGAGTCATGTCGGTCCAGGTTTGCCTAGTAGGTCGACCCAAGTCATCTAGGCACCGGCGCCAGGACAGGCCTGACAGCGGCGGACAGGGCTGTCAGGTATAATCTGGGCGCTGTAGACTGCGTAGTGCGTATGCTACATATGATGAGCATTACCTACTTCTCACATCTTTGTTATAGTAACTGCAAAGTGCCCATTTATCAGACTCAGTCTTTGAGTCACACATGTCCTAAACGACTAGGCTGTGCATGTGCATGTCATAAACTGTGATGACTGCCGTTAGACATCACTACACACCCATGGCTTCAGTCTAACAGTAAATGCAGTCACGGTTTTGTTTCGGTAGGTTGTAGCTGTCCAGTCAGACTGTGACGTCATTGCACCCGAGGGCAGCAGGGTATTTCGACTAGCGGCGCCCATGTTGTCCAGTTGCCGCAGATTTGTAGGTCAAAGGAAATAAAACAAGGAAAAAGCTTGCTCCAGCGACACTTTTTGCTAGAGCGCCTTTGCCAACGTGGCAGGTTGCGAACAAAGCTTCCCTTTCCCAGCACGCTTCTGAAAGAGGGACAGCAACCTCAGCTTTAAGAGGTGAACATCCTCATTGTGGAGGGTCCGACGTCATGGCTTTCGACGGTGGATGATCAGCAGCGGGGGTGGCGCTGGCACCACACGGTGCTGACCTGTGCTGTTGGCCACGATCTGCAGCTCCAGCAGTCGGATGGAAGACAGGTCGCTGTGCGGGTCAGCCGAGGCATCGAGCCGCACCTCGACGAAGCGAGACCCTCTCTCCGAGGGCGAGCGGAGGAGCGGGATGACGTACTCGGACGGGCCCCGCCGCGGTCGGCGACGCGGCTCTGCCGGCGGTATTGTCGGTACACAGTCGCTGTACTGGCCGGTAAACTCGGAAACAAGGCTGCCGAAGTCGGCAACTTCCAACAGAAAACGGTTGGAAATTCGTTACCGCCGCCAGCCGCGCCTGTTTTGCCACACCCTCCGCGGTGCGGATGGTCGCGAGCCCCTACCAAGTCATGTCCAATTCATGTCCACCGAAGAGGGACCTGAATCCCTGCATGAGGTATATGGCTTCCAGTTAGAGTATTTCAAGCCGCCTCTGACCGTTGGCCAGCTAGGTCGGATGAACACGAGCTTCAAATTCACTATCAGAATGTCACATGCTGGAAGTGGTGCGGGCTGAATTCGGTCTCATACCGACCAAAAAAAGCAAATGGAGAGAGCTAACTAACCCACCCATTTTACGCCACGATGAAAATATTTTCATAAATTAGTGTCACGACGTGAGCACAATTGCACGATCAAATACAACATA